GAGAGGTTTGACCAAACTGTTAAACTAGGTTATTTCCAAATCTTCCAAGCTCCCGATTGATTTCTAATATTTGATTCTTATGACTAAGTAGCCTAGTAGTATTAAATTGTAAATAAATTACAGATCCATCTTTGAAATCTGATTGGTTGATAACTTTTGACAACGTTTAATTCAGGTGCGAAAAGAATTAATATCTAGCCCATGAGCATAGAGGGATTTGTGAGTGCACAGGACACAGTTTGAGCGAGAGCAGAGACATGTTTTAAGTGCGCGCACTCTCTCTGGGCGAGAGCAGCGTGTATCTGAGCGCGCGAGTCCGGTTTAGTGCGAGAGCAAAGGAAATCCGCACGCGAGCAGAGAGATTCGCGATCGCGCATTATATTTATGTGCTTTCGCGCTACAATAATGCACTCTCGACATTTGTCATTAAAATAACGCCATACCAGGCTCTTTTCAAACGGTGCAGATTACACAGCGTTTCTGGTCTCGTGAAGGCGCTTCAGAGAGGAGTTTGTCGTTCCGAACGAGAATAATATGAAATGTGCATGTTCTGTTACAAATCCTTGCAACTAATGATCAGTCAACATCAATGCTCCCTGTGCGATGGATTGAGATTTTTTGTGTGTCAAACATTATTTTCTGTGAATGCATATATGCATCTCTCTGTAACGTACTTGGTAAAGACTGTTAAAAGGTGCTATATAAATAAAGCCTGTCATAATATGTCAGATACCTCAACTGAATTTAAAATCATTGCAATAAATTCTCAGTTGGTATAATGGCAATAATAAGTAACAATCAACATTGATTTTAGTTAGATTTTTTTTTGTGTGTGTGAAAACCCTACTTCATATTAGCTACACATTCAATGGCACTCTCCTCTAAAACAGTGAATATACTGTTATATGACAGTTACATGTAATTACATTGACTGTAAATGCATTAAACACATAGAATATAATATAATGTATGACAAATGCCTAAAAATTTCCTTTACTGTTCAATTGAAGAAAAAAAGTTAACTACATCTTGGATGGCTTGAGTGTGAGTCAATTAACAGCAATTTTTCATTTTTGGGTGAACTATCCCTTTAAGCCTGCATGTTTAGTCCGTATGACAAACGTTATAAATGCAGATTGTTATTAAATAAAGGCTAGTATGTGTTGTAGTGTGTGTGTTTTAGTGATTGATAGACACCAGGTAATACTTTTCTTAAACTCAATATAATAACTAGTTCCACAGCAATTTCTTATGATGCCCAAATAATAAATCTTAGTTGAGGTAACATATGAAACACATGGAGTGAATGGTTAAATTTTAATTGACACAATTTGCTGTAGTTTTCTAAATGTTTGACCAATTAAATAATTTTAGTTGAATGGACTATAAAACTATTTCAGTAAAGGTTGAGCCAACTAAAAAATAACAATTCAGGCAACACTTTGAAGACAGAAATTGACTGAACGTAAAATTTCTGTGGAACTTGTTACTAAATAATAATTAACTGAAACGGCTTGAAATTTTTTACAGTGCAGGATAGTCTGATTCACAAATGAGTCTTATGAACTGGTCCTTTTTAGTGAATTGAAAAACAAACAGTGCAACAAAACAATGACTCTTATGAACCGGTTCTTTTTGGTGAATCAAACGACATACTGCACAACCAGGGAAGTCTGATTCACAAATGACTCTTATGAACTGGTTCTTTTTAGTGAATCGAAAACAAACTGTGCAACCAGTGAAGTCCAGTTCTCAAACATAGAGTACGACTCAAAGGTGAATCAAAAACAGCTCAATCAGTGTATGCTGACCCCCAATCAAATTACTCTAATGAGTCAGTTTGTTTTAGTGAATCAAACACATACAGCTTCCAAATAGGCAGGAGCGTAGTTACTGACTAGTTGTTCACATGACAATGTGTAGTTAAAGATGCAAATAAGACATTTTGTCAATATTTCATGAAAATAATTAAGTGAAACCACATTTTTTTGTTTGTTTAGTATTGTTTTCTAATGCATAGTTAAGGCCAATTATTGGGTTAGATTTATGCTGCTTCTAAAAAGACTGTGAAAAGTCATTAAAAATCAGACTTTGGCAAGAATTGTTTTTAAAAATGATTTATTTTTTAAATAATCTCATTTTTTGGCGATGGAACTGTATTTATTTTTTCCAAATATTTATTCCTTAACAAGAGTATTAAAAGAGTCATTGAAACCATAAAGGGGCATGAATTGTTAAGATGAATTGGAACTAGAAGCATTAAATTCTTCATGATTCCCATCCATAAATGAGTCTAATTTACATAGAAAGAAGGTTTACTTGCTCTGAATGACAATTACTTCATTTAAATACCAATGACGTAATACTTTTTGTCTTGCATTTCTTAACATTTTGAAATTGCTGTTCAGGAAAATGTTTTCTCATAATTGATTACAGGTGTTTAAACTGGACTCATAAAAATAACAACATCAACATATGCACAGGAAACCCAGGTATGTTTTAACCTGAAATGACAGCCACGAGATGTAAAACAAGGCACAATGTGCCGTTGTTAATTAAATACATGTAAATGAGCTCTTGAGTAAATCATATGAAACATAGCCTGTCTGCAAAAGTTATAACCCAATTTATGTGCCTGAAAGAAGCAGCAGCCGAATATCTTTGTTATATTGCAGGCGCTAATGAATTACTCACGTCCAGAGACTAATTTGCATAATTCCAATTCTCACCCAAAGGCATTATGCTGGCTTTTTTATGATTCCTGAATTCTATTACTGTTGTGAAAACAAAACCCCATTGTGTAAAGAAGGTGGGAGATGGTGAAATAAATTGAGAGAAATCTTCAAAGGGCCAGTGGAATGAAAAGGAAGATAATATCGTGGCTATCGATGTCATGCGAGTCTCGTCTGCTATCTGTCCTCAGGACTGTGTAATTACTGTCACAATGTAATTAGCCTTCACCTCGTTTTGATGGATACTTGGGTGCTCACAGCATATTGGCGCTGACAATGGAAGCAAGTGTACAGCCATGTCCGATAACGGTCTGGGAGATGATTTGGTGAACCGCAGGTGGCATTTAAATGTTATGGGTCAAAATGCTACATGAGTAAAGAAGCAAAACATCCTAACATCAAAAGAAAAAGAAAAAAATCAAAGAAGAGAGAAGGGCATAACCTTACGAAAAAAGAAAACACGCAAAAATCGCGGTTGCTGCGGTTCTTGCATTCCTCTGCGGCTTGCTCGTCAATAGCACGGTATTGCGATATTGCGGTTATCGCGACAGCACTACTCTCATATAATTAGCACTAAGCAGTACAGTATCAAGAAACTCTTTTAAACTCCTATATATATATATATATATATATATATATATACATTAAATATATATTATATATAATACATATAAGAATAATTTAAAAATATATTTAAATTTTAAAAGGTGGAGGGAAGGTACATACTGTATAAGCAATGTCTACTTTAGTGAAAAAAAGAAAGAAAAACATATCCAGCAATGGCTTTAGGAAATGATTGTTTTCAACACTGTGGAGGTGGAATATTTCTAATATTTCAAAGGCCCTTACCGAGAAAATGTTCAACCAGGACTCCGTTTATTATGCTGTTTATCACGACTGCAATTTATTTTTTGTCCTACAGTGACATGACAGAATTTATCCCACAAGGAGTTTAACAATTACCGCCACGCAGCGCTGATTCGCATTTTTCAAATCATCCCTTTGTGCAAATCCAGACCCGTTACACCATGACACCATTGTATCCTCCTCCTCACAGGTGACTCTGGTCAGAAACAGATGTGGAATCCCACATGTTCGCTGCTCAACACCCAGTAAACAAGCCCTCTGGTGCTACACGAACAGCCAACCAATAAGTCTTTATCTCACCTCAGTCCATCAGTCCCATTTTTTCCAATTCATTAGCTATAATCGCATTGAATGACTCTTTATCGAGTTTCCCACCTCCAATGCCAACGGCAGGAGAAACAGGGAGAATTGTGGGTATCTTGTGGAAAGCCCTGAAAACAGAAGTGATGTACTGTAAATAGCAGAAGGAGCAGAATTATGTAAGAGAAGACACAAAGAGATAGGGTGCACGATCAGGCAGCGTCTGAGAGAAGGGGCCAAAACCAACTTGCTAATTGTTATTCGTGCTGATGCGGCTCTCGCTGTCTGTCACCTCATCAACTTATGGAACCAAGCTGCTTTAAAGGAAAAGCTAGCATTTTAATTATGTTTTCCATTAATTATTGATTTCTTTTTACATTAATAAGGGTCGTAACATGCTATTGTTTCTACTCGTCGAAATGTGGTGATGTGGGAGAGGACATCATCTAAACACACAGGGGAATTGAGTCGTGATGCAGGGCTTGGTGAATGTAAAATCTGCATCAACAGGACACATTAAAAAAGCCTATCATATAATGCAAGCTCATGCTGGAGCGTTAGCTGTGAGGAAGACCCTGGTAGTCGAGGAGGGCGATGAATTATTCAGTGGCCGGTGTGAATAAGCTGTTTTATAACTTCGGCTGGGCGTGATGTGGAGAGAGATTTATTATTGATTCCTTCCATGCACACAGGTGCTTTAATTGGCTGGAAAGTATAAAGCTTTATCTCTTTCTGTCTTAATAAAACCTTATCCTCCATAATCCCTGCTTTATTAAACAAAAACATCCTTAATACTTATTAACATAAGTATAAACCTTAATAAACATATGAAAAAACAAATGTAAGTTGATCTAAAATATATTTTTAATTAAATTATAAATGTAATGATAAAAATATGATTTTTTTATATATCCTGAAAAATCATGAATTTTTTTTTACTGAAGACAAAAAAAAATTTTTTACTGAAGACTTTTTTTTTGCAGACAATAGCCGTGTCATAGAGTCATAAACACAATCCATTTTTCCCAATACTGTAAGTATTTATCCATCCTTAAGTTTAATGCGAACGTCAACTTTTGAACTGTAGTGTATTCATAAAATTATTCTGAGGTGTATAAATTTATAATACAGTGAATTAAAAAAGTACAAAAATTATGCGATATATTTAGTATACTACTCATAATATTTTGTTGCAGAATGCAGTAGTGCAGTATTCAAAAAAGTGTACAAAATATAACTAGAGCACACTACAATTCCCATATTGTATTGTATCCCACAATACAATGCACTAAGCTTTACATTAGTGAAGAAGCAGCATTATTGGGCAAAAGTTAAGTTAATATATCCCAACATCAGAAAAAAAAAAATCTAAATCAATCTCAAAACTATGAACTAAACTCCACCCCAAAATTTAATAAGTAAAGATGTAAAGTATTCTACAGTTTAAAATGTTTATCGTTACATACCGTACACTGGATTGCAGCATTTGCAGTGTAAGCAATTTGCTAATATTCCATTCCATCTCTTAACACTTCAGCAGTCAGCAATTCAGCGCTCTCTTAAGCACAGCTATTAAACCAAGGAGGTACATGGGGCTCGTTTCTGCTCCAAACGATCAGAAATAGCATCAGTCAGGGGATTTCACCAAGTGTACACTGACATTATACAGTGCAACGGGTACAATTAGCACAGTGCTTATGGGCTGCAAAGGTGATAAGTGGCTTTCTTTCTCTCTCACACAGTTACTATCAGCACCTCTGTCAGACAGCCCTAATCACCGACTCGCTCTACAGATGACTGCTCATTCATCTGCTCTCAAAAATTAGATTAAGTACCAAATTCAAAGGTGAAGTGTGGAATTCCTAGCGCCACCAAAAAGAATAGAGTGCTGTAGTGATTACATATGTTTGACAACAATCACCCTGGTTCCCTTGACAAAAACCAAATCCGATTTTTCCATTGGATTTTGATTTTTTTGCAGAAAATAAGCTCTGTGAATAATAAAAGTTTACAATTCTTACACATTTTGTTCATCACGATAATCTTCACAAATGAACAGATTTTATGAAAAAAAATTTTAAATAAACATGGCTAAATGTAGCTTTTCACAGTCTTTTTTTTTTTTAAACATTTTCCCTGTTTGGAACTAGAAGTGCTAAAATGCACTTGTTTCCTAAAAATTTATTTTTTGGGTAATCAACATCATGCCACGAAATGCTGTCAACTTGTGAATCTGGAATACTCCTTTAACAGTGAAATAAATCACACATATCAGAAATCAAAGAGCAAGAGCAGAGCCAGTGGAAGCATTACTGAACAAGAAGCAAAATGGAAGCTCAGGAAAAGATACAACGATGCAGTCAAGTGTAAGGAGAAAACAGAGGTGGGAAAGGGCCACCGCATACCCAATATAGCTGCAGGGCCATTAAAACAGTCTACATCCAATGCTATGACAGACTATGGTGGACACCGGGTGCATTAACGACAGCACACAAACAGCACACTCCTGATTAAATAATGTAACTGGCTCTAACTGTACACTCGTTGCATAGAAGTGAGTGCTGAAGAGGCAGATGAGAGACTCGCTCTTCACTGAGAAGGCAGCGTTGTCAAAGGGGAAAATTCAGCGGCTGTTGACTATCGATCTGTTGATCTTTCGTGCACTGAACCCTCGCACCTCAGTTCTATGCATGCAGATCTACGCTGAATCACAGCCTTTATGGAGATATTTTTACCGCAGCATGATTAACAAAGGCATAACATCTTCAAACTAAAGATTAAAATGCTGCAAAGCTACTGTACCAGCTATAAAACACCTCAAAACTAAATATCTGCTATGCACTTTGCAAAATTTAAGATGTAGATTATCAATTACTCCACCGGCCTCGCTCTGTTCCCACGGCTCTCGGCCCCGCCCCCACTCGTCACATACTTGTATAAAGGCCTGTATCTAGCATGACTTTTATGAATTGTTAAACATTTCCCAATGACTGTTTGCTATTGCAAATGAAATAAAAATAAGAAATATTAGAACAGAAACAGAAATAGATTTGGAGAAATTTAGCATTACATCACTTGCTCTTCAGCAGTGAATGGGTGCCGTCAGAATGAGAGTTTAAACAGCTGATTAAAACATCACAATCCACACGACTCGAGTCTTGTGAAGTAAAAGCTGCTTGTTTGTAATAAATTCATCATTAAGGGGCTTTTCAAACTCTCATTCTGACGGCACCCATTCACTGCAGTGGATCCTGAGACTGAGGGTAAGACATTTTTTGGGTAAAGGATTCCTTTAATCACAATATTGAATTTATATTGAAACTACTGATTTTAGATTTAATTTTTATTTATTTTAAGCAAAACTGTAAAGATTTTTAATACTGGCCCTTTATCAGTTATCAACCACAGCATAAAAATAATTATGAGTTTATCAGTAATGGCCAGAATTTTAATATCAGCACATCCCTAGATGTTTGTGTACTTTTACCAGCATGTTCACAACTTAGCACTACAAACCAGCCGGCAGGATTTGATTTGCACTGTGAAAATGGGTTCAACACAAATCTGCACTATTAGCTGATCTGCATAATTCCTTTAGCGAATCTGGTGCTAAACCAACGCAAATGGTTCACTTAAACAATGTCACACCTTCAGACTATTTTTATTTTCAGACAAGAATATTTTTTCCTACGCTCTATAAAATCACAAAAACAAAACAAAGCATGCATTACAGATATGAGGCTTTGCATAATATCAGTGTAATAAGTAATTAAGATAACACATGGTGTCATAAATATTGTAACCTTACAGGCTTGAAGATTCATCCATAATGCATTCATCTCTATGGGGGGGGTCTAAAAATAAGGCTCTTTCCTAGCGGTAATAATTCATTGTGGATTCTGTCTCTTTATGTTAACAGACAGCTCTTTTCCAGACTGATGGCCCCTGGCTTGAAAGGACAATACTGTTGGGGAACTATTCAAATGAGTGACATTTCAAGGAAGAAACAAATGCTGGATGCACCAAGAAATGTCAAGCTTTGGTATTTTTGTTAATTGGACAAATTCTTGTTCTCTCTCTCTCGATCTACACACACAATATCCCTGGCCTGGTGAGATCTCTTGTAAATGTCTTTCATCACAGTAGTTCCAGCACCTTCTCAAGCAACAGCTGTGAGGACAGTTCTGTGCTATTGAACTGTAAAGATGGCAAGGGGTATCACACGGCTGACTGTTGAGAATGCCACACGACTGCTCAATAATTTGTTTACTCCTCAGCAGCATTTATCCTGACTGCTGGCTAAGCTATAGTCTTCTGTTTTCCAGTTTGTGTTTTGGGGCCCAGATTTTCCTTATGGTTTCCTGCCTCCTAGTGTGCTAGAATAGCCATAATCCTCCATTGAAAGCAACTACAATTGAGATTAATAAATAATTCACACACTGAAAAATTGCTGGTGGTTTTTATGGGATGAATAAAACTTTATGAATGATTTTACATCTGTAAAAAATTGTTTACATTTGTAATGTGGTTTTTGCCACTTATTAGCAGATCAAGTTCTGATGCCAGCTGGTTGACATGCTAAACTAGCTTGGACAGAATACTAGACCAATTCAAATGTTTGGGATCAGTAAGATTTAACAAAAAAAATAATAATATTTTGCAAGAATGCACTAAATTGATCAAAAGTTACAGTACAAAGATTTACAATGCTGTTCTTTTGACTTCTTTTGAATCATAGAATCCTGACTACAGTTTCCACAAAAAAAAATTAAGCAGCCAAACTGACTCCAACATTGATAATAAAAAGAAATGTTTCTTGAACACCAAATCAGCATATTAGAATAATTTTTGAAGAATTATGTGACACTGAAGACTGGAGTAATGATGCTCAAAACTCAACTTTGCATCACAGGAATAAATCACATTTTAAAATATATTTTAAAATAGAAAAGTTATTTTAAATTATATATTATAAATAATATATTTAATATAAATAATATTTAGCAATATTACTGTTTTTTACAGTTGTTTTGGTCAAATAAAAAAAGAAATCAAAAATATGATATAAATAAAATAAATATTATATATAAATATAACTTTTGAGTGGTAGTGTATCTTTACCATATTGTTTATAAAATGCTCAAAATCAGATTCTTTGTTTGTGTTTTATTTCTATATTCTTCAATAGGTTTGGGATGGGTTCTAGGTTTGTATAGTTGCTTTTTGTTTTGTACTCTTGCTTTCTTTGAAAAGAAAACTTAATAAAACAGTTGTTAACAACAAAAACGCTCAAAATTTAATTAAACAAATGTAATCTCAACATTAATATCTATAACATTATGATGTTCATTATAAACATTATACATTTACTTATAGCATTTAAAATATTGTTTTTATTTTTTAATTATTTTTTAATTATTTTATTTTTTTAATTACTTATTTATTTATTATCACATCGGCCAAAAATGTAATATCTGTTATTTCCCATAAAACAGCAAAAACCTGCCAGCCAACATAGGGCGACGTGTGTTTTTCTTTTCCCCCATAAAGGTTTTATTCAGCACAATCAGAGCTAAAATGAAAAATCTAAATCTATGGTATTGCTCTCACTGAACGGTCACTGTGGATTTTCAACCATCTGCAAACATTCATGTTTCCTCTCTCTCTCTCTCTTCATTTCTCTCTCTATATATCTAACTCGCTCTCTGCACAGACCTTCTTACAAATGATAAATACCCTCTATAAGCACTAACAGCACACTTGGGGGCTGCAGTCTGTCCCTCTGTTACGCTAAACACAGTAATTCAATGTCTTCTGAATGTCTGCCAGGGCCAATTAAAAATCAGGAATCCAAACCACGTCTGCCACCGACAGCACACAAACAAACAGGCAAACACAAACTCACACACGCAAACACATGCACGATATAAGAGTTTACTGACCACCAGGCTTCCCAGTAAACTCATAATACATGGCGTTATGGATTATTAGGCTGAAAATATCTTATAATGCTTTAAACTTTTTTTTTTTTGCATAGAAAATGTAATTAAGCTACAGCTTTCAGACAGCACTTATAAAATTGGGTTACATCCATTTCTGATGGCATTAGAAAAAAACACTATTTAATAATAAATTGTTATTAATCTTACATTTAAAAGCAATTAAGTCAAGTAAATGACTTTAGTAGTACATTTCCATATGGCCTCTAGCACTAACAAAAATTAACTGGAAAAGGAAAATCGCTTTATTGCTCATTTCTTTCCTCCCCTTGCTTCTCTTGTGTCTTCTGTTCATTTCTAGGCTCAGCAAAATTAGTTTAGTGTTCAGTGCAAACAATTCAAACCATCCCTTACTGAAGTGAAATTTATTTTCTTCAAAAATTTCAATTATTTACTCTACTGATTGCAGCTCAATCAGATCAACAGTGCATACAGGAAAAGATACCTATCCTAATCCAGCATGCTTAAATGAGATCTTGCTATTTCTGCGGGTAGCCACGAAAGATATTTCACTGCAGCTAAAAATAGCCCGACGGTGCATTTTATCTGTTATTTCCGGGCATCATTACTTTGTTTTGATTCGATCTGCAATTAAATGAAGCACTCTGGGATTATGTGCACTGTTGCTGCTCACCATGGAAACCGGAGTTAATTCAATATGTGAAGGTTGCTTAAATCAGTGCAACACTTCTACAAAGCACATAGCAACACCAGACTGATGGCAGGGTGATGCAGGTCTGTTATCTGTAACCTGTAATCTGTGGAGAGGGGGGGGGGTGAACGAAAACGAAGCCAGGTGATGTCCATTCTCTATCGTGATGGCAAGCCCACTGCAAACAGATCTAAATTAATTTCTATAAATAGACTTTCTGAGAAAAGAGGGGTCTTGGACCTCTCCTGTAATGATATACTGGTGCTAGGAGAGGGGCAACAATTATTTCTGAGCAAATGTTGACTCTGCCATGCATTGGAGCATATTAACGTCTGGCATAGTTTTGAAACGTTATATAAAACACTGTTTGAGACTAGACTATTAAATTAGGGTTAAATTAGGTCTTTTTAAGACTATATTTCAATTTAGCATTTCATTAAAGCAATATAGCTCACCCAAAAATGAAAATTTACCAAAATTACTAAAAATGTATTCACTGTAGTTTGTTTCTGAACAGATTTGAAGATATTTAGTATTACATCACTAATGGATCCTCTGCAGTGAATGGGTGCCATCAGAATGATAGTCTAAAAACATCACAAGCTGATAAAAACATCACAATAATAGACTCTAGTCTATCAATTAATGTCTTGTGAAGAGAAAAGCTGAGTGTTTATAATAAACAAATCCATCAAAACATTTTTAACTTCAAACCGTTGCTTCTGGAGTCCATAATACCCATAATATTTCTTTTTCCAATGAACAAATCATCTCGCCTGAATCAGGAGAATGAAATAACCAAAACAGTTCTAAGCAAATATGCTGGTGGATTTTGATGAAAGAGGACTACAGGGGATGAACATTTTCACTGGAGGAAGAGTTATTATAGATTATGAGCTCATATTTTGTTCAGAACGACGGTTTGAAGTTGAAATGCCTTAATGATGGATTTGTTTCTCACAACACACATCTTTTCACTTCATAAGATGTTAACTGATGGACTGGAGTCGTGTGGATTACTTGTGGATTATTGTGTTTTTTTATAAACTGTTTGCACTTCTGGCGGCACCCATTCACTGCAGAAGATCTATTAGTGAGCAAGTTATATAATGCTACATTTCTTCAAATCTATTCTGATGAAGAAACAAACTCCATACTGGAGGAAGAGTTATTATAGATTATGAGCTCATATTTTGTTCAGAACGACGGTTTGAAGTTGAAATGCCTTAATGATGGATTTGTTTCTCACAACACACATCTTTTCACTTCATAAGATGTTAACTGATGGACTGGAGTCGTGTGGATTATTGTGTTTTTTTATAAACTGTTTGCACTTCTGGCAGCACCCATTCACTGCAGAAGATCTATTAGTGAGCAAGTTATGTAATGCTACATTTCTTCAAATCTATTCTGATGAAGAAACAAACTCCATCTACAATCCTGGATGGCCTGAGGATAAGTAAACATTCAGCAAATTTTATTTTTTTAGTGAACTATTCCTAGCCTCCCTAAGTGAAGTACTTTGAGATCTGGATCCCTTTTACAAGAGTTATTATTATCCATTTCCCAAGTCTGCTTTACAACTAATCACCAAATAACAAAACCGCAAGTGTAGACCACATGTACCTCAAGGCAGCGGAGCCATTGCTCAGTTTTGACAGAGGTCTAATGCGGTGAGCAGGCAGGCAGTCGTAAAGAAGCTGTGATTTGTCAGTGCAAAGGTTATTCTGTCACCCCTCCCTCCCCCTAAAACACATAAGGGAACAGACAGGTTGACGTTAATTTTGTCTCTATTCTCCCTGGATTAGAGAGTCAGTCCGGCAGGAGCAGAAATAAATAACCTACAGCACTAATGCAGGGGGCTAATTCTGTGTGTGCAGAAGAGGAGGTAATACAGCACCTGACATTTATCAGCTATTCTGAGACAAGAACCGAAAAAAACGCTTGGCAGAGGGCATGAGCTCTTTAAAGACAATTTCAGCTGATTTCAGCCTTACACCATCGGTTGAGTGGGAAAACAAAAAGGCACTGGGAAAAGAAAAACGTGTAAAGTGCAAGTGTCGTACTTTAGCATGATGGACTGAGGGCTTTGGTAGATGTCTGCATGCATTATTGTGCAAACCCAGCGATGAACATCTCCATCAGTATGGAGAGCAGTCAATCAGCTCCATGAGCGTCATGCAGCCTTCATATTTTAATCAGGCAATTAGCCAGCCAGCTAAACTTCTCCATGCTCTTGAGGAGTTGAGGAGGTGCATATCAATTCTTCCCCTGTGAGTGATCCATGCTTTTCTGCGTTCATTATCCAATATGGTGAAAAACACTCCAGTCACAATCAATCATGCACACACACACAATATAAAGATATATTAGTGAAGACACAGCTTTGACAGAAATGGTTTTCATATATATTATGATATATAGTATACAACAATACACAGTTGCCCTTTCAATTTAATTCAGTTCTGCTCTCAAGTCGATTCCTATTTCGATTTCATTTCATTCGATTACAATTCATTTGGCACATTTTAATTACCTATGAAATAATTCTCTCTCAACTTTTTCTGCAGCAGATCTTCTAAAATGTTGCCTTATGAAAACATTAAAATTAACAACAGGTCCCAAACTATGCAGTTCAACTGCAGCCAGTTCATTCAGTCAAAGATTCAGATTAATTAAAACAGTAACTTGTGAGTTTGTGAGACTTTTTGAATAATTTATTAATAGGGTCGATTCAAAAGAATAATTTGTTTGTGAATCGTTTAGGCTGGAAGAGTCATTTGTTATGACTGACTAAAAAGTATCGGTTCATAAGAGCCAATTGTTCGTGAACAGAACTGCACTGATTGCACTTTATGTTATTGATTCACAAAAGAGACTTTGTTCGTAAATTGGACTGCATAAATCACACTGTTTTTTTTTACTATGTGCAAAACACTAGGAGGACAAGATAAAAATGTGTGTGTTCTTGGTCTACTTTTAACTGATCACAGTTAGTTGACTTTTAACATGGAAATATATTCACGAACCTCTAGATTCAGGGTGTGACGCTGCTTAAAACACTAAAATGTCAATCTGAGGGTTTTTAAGAATTTATATCCAGATCAAATAAAGTTTGCGACTAGACCCAGCTCTGAATATTGACTATATAACACCCCTAAACCTAACCCTCACAAAAACCTAATGACGTTGTTGAACTTAAAACCAGTTTATTTCAACAACGTCAACAGTCCAGTTTATGTTTCACAAGACATTTCTAAACATCTGACCCTCACAAATTCAGCAAAACATGTAAAGACAGAAATGACACCACAATGATTACATGCAAAAATCAGGTAAAGAAACACAAATACAGGAGTACATACTTGCTTCGATACAGTCAATATAATAGGACCACAGCACATGTGCTGTCAAACTGTCTCTAAAGGTCACGATTTAGGAGAGCAGCGAGCCCGAAGAAAGGTGAACTCGTCTCAATCTCCAGTGCCTCTTTCTTGTTCTCAGCCAGATGCTTCCTCCGCTTGTCTTTTCTCTGACGCTAATGACATTTGTCTCAGCAGATACACACTAATAAGAACAAAACACTACAGAAATACCACTCAGCTTTACTGAACTATAGGTGCTGTCTATATTCATCAAATCCCCTTGATTCCTGCTTAATAAAAAAAAATTTAATATAAAAAAAAATTACTTGCCTTCAGAATATAGTCAGGATGTTAACTGTAGTCTTTTATGTGAATGCCACAATACTCACCAATGAAATGCTATTAATCTTTGCAGATAAACTAACTATACTCAAAACAAAGTTCTTGAAGCCGGTTTATGTATTTCATATAAAGGCCCAAAACATATAATGACCAAACAACTTGGCTCAACTAAAGGCAATACTTTGAGGCAGGGCTATATTTTTGCTCGACCAATGGCAGACAGGGAGTGTGTTTCAAGAAACCTGTTTAGAAACAGTCATTATTTGTACATATCCAGTAGGTGGTGCACTTATTATCTTTGAAAATAAATGTATAATTTAATGTTTTATATTGTTTTAATGCCTTATGGTATAGCCAGGAATAGATAAGTATTATAATTTATTATAATTGTGGTTACATACATTTGTGAAAATGAATGTTTTATAATGCAACTTTATTATTATTATTATTAATAATAATAATAATAATGTTTAATTAATAAGCACCTTTCCTATGCTCAAGATCACTGTACAGAGTAGCAATAACAGAAACATAGCAACAATATGCAAAATACAAAGAAATATAAAAAAAATTATCATCAAAAATTCATAAACTTTATTACATTTATTATTATTGTAAGGTATTGTAAAAAAAAAAAAAAAAAAAAAGTTTTAGAATAAAAATACATGTAAATCTAATAATCTAAAAGATCACTCCAATTTTAGCAACAGTATCTTAGATTAGATTAGTTCCTCCGACTGACGTATATGGACAAATATCATTTGTAATATTGTATATTCTCTATGGTTGCAAATAAAGGAATAACAGGATCAATCTCTAAACATTTCCAGGAATGAGCCTTTGAGTGTTTTCAGAAGAAATCGAACGGTTGAAGTGGAAGATATATTGCATTCAAAATGTCATCCACCACATTGCGAGCACTCAGAGAGCAGAGATACACAGCACGTACTGAGACGGCGGGCACAGGTCTCATCTGCAGCACAGCTAGCATTTTTCCTCTTCAATCATTACCTGGTGCTCCTAACAATAAACTTCATTGAGCCTTGACTTTAATTTTATGGGGTTCTCGAAGCACAGCTGCCCCTTCACTGTTTCTTCTGATGGCCAGCAGGGAGGAGGTCACAGATTTGATTTTTACACTGATTTTTTGTTTCAGTCATACAGTTTAAAAGTCAACATTTAGAGGTTTCATATTCATGAAAAAATATCACTTTAGTTCACAATGTGAAAAACGTGACAAATGGTAACCAAACTTTCAAAACATTTTTGAAAAATGTATAAATATCATGTATCAAACATAAAAAACAATTCATAAATAAAATATTGTGAAAACTGTCCTTCACTGTAATATACACTACCAGTCAAAAGTTTTTGGACAGCAAGATTTTTAATGTTTTTTAAAGAATTCTCTTCTGCTCATCAAGCCTGCATTTATTCGATCCAAAATACAGCAAAAACAGTAATATTGTGAAATATTTGTACTATTTAAAATAACTGCTTTCAATCTGAATATAGTTTAAAATGTAATTTATTGCTGTGATTTTAAAGCTGGATTTTAAGCATCATTACACCAGTCACATGATCCTTCAGAAATCATTCTAATATTCGGATTTGCTGCTCAAAAAACATTTAGCATTGTTATTATGTTGAAAACAGCTAAGCAGAATTTTTTTTAGGTTTCTTTGATGAATACACAGTTCAGAAGAACAGCATTATAAATGTCTTTATCATCACTTTTGATCAATTTAATGCATCCATGCTAAATAAAAGTATTAATTTCTATAATTTCATAATTTAATGATAAATATATAATGATTTAAATATACTGACTCCAAGCTTTTGAATGGAAT